ATTTCAGGCAATTCAGTGTTAATTTTTTTTTTTAAATTGATCGATTAGAAGTTAACTGCAAGTATAACATTGTTTGATTGAAAACTGTATCTTTATTGAAGAAGAGTTATTTTCCTTGCTTCATCATTCGTGAAACGATTATCCGACGTACACTTAAAAATGACAACCTGACATTAGCAAGTTTTCTACAAAAACAGTTTTAAGGAAAATCGTGACGACAATTTGTGCAATTTAGTTTGCTTAACGCGCGCGTACAAATACGATAATCATGACTCGCGGCGCGATTCGTCAGTCACGACTCGCGTCTGTTCTTCCCTTCGGTCATTATTAGAGATGCCTCCTTTTACAGCTCAATCGTTGTTCCGTTGTCTTTGTCTATAGATATTTGCACAAGTAGTTGTAAAGGATCTTGTTTGTTAATATTTGTTCAAAACTTCGTACCTCTTGATTTACCATTCGAATCTAGTCAGACGACAAAACAGGTAGAAATTGATTAAACACCGTTCATGTGATATTGACAAACAGAGTTGCATCCCGACGCGAGACGACATTCTTCGGCTGCGTAAAGCTACGTACCAAGAACAGGTACAAACGTTTTATTCATAAGTCTTCCTCGACGAGGAATAGATGCTATCGGGCGTCGTATACGAGCAGAGAAGTGTTAATAACCGAGCCAAGTGTGTACATGTATCTTGCATTCACAGAGGGACAAAGAAAAGCGAATTTCGAGGAGTACGAGGCGAGGAAGCATGAGTACGCGGAGAAAATCGTGTCCCTCAAACAAAGTATCCGCGAGTTGTACACGGAGTACGCGAACATACAAAACGTAATTACGAAACATAAGTACGATTGAAATCGTAAACAGCGAAGCAGCAGTTATTAACCATTAGCTCCTGTTAAATAAATTTTCTACTCATAGTGCCTTAACAAAATTTAAATTAAAATTCGATTCAAGATTTTTGACTAAGACGTAACAGTAGAGTAACCAGTCGTCTTTAGTCGTCGATTCATGTTTTAATCCGGCTTTAAAGTGACCTTTGGTTTATAAAACCAATTGCAACTAAGACATCACTTAGAAGTCGTGTTTTACGTAAGTTACATATTTGTCGGGGAAAGAAACAGTGAGTTAAAAACTGCTGGTTTAAGGGTACTCTTTAAGTGTTTAATAGCTGGCGGTTTGCGCCATATATTTCACAGAACGAGGGGAAATCGGCCGGTAGGGTTCACACGAGACGCAGCGCATCGGCCCATGAGAAAAAACGCAATTTAGACGAGACAATTGCTAAAGTGCAGGAGGACAATGTACGGTTAAGAAAGAAGTACGATCTAATTAAGTATCAGCGTAAGAAGGTGAGCCAACCGCGATATCGATCGTTTTAAGTACTATCTCGCGTAAATGTGTAACATCGTGCACACCGGAATAAATATCCCTCAGCGACAGCAGAGGTTACACGCGTTGCTGGAGGAATATGGTCAATTAGTGAGCGATAAGATGCAGAAGATATTTAAGAAAAAGATAGAAAACCCGTTGAGAACCGTGAGTAAAGCCGACATCGGAGGAACACAGTTGGGAGATGTATCTACCATCTTATCGCGTTCTCACAGAAAATCGTTAAGCTGGAAGTGCGTCTGGAGCACATTAGAATGCTGCAGATTAAGGCGAACATTGCGAGGATGAAGTATCGCTCGATGGGGTCCGATTTTCAAGAGAAATCAGTGTTCTATGCGTCGACTTTGAAAAATCTCGAGGACGAAATAAAGGAACAAGTGAATGAGATCAAGCGTCTTCAGGCAAGACCGTAGGATTTCGAGTAAAGTCTGTGCTCTGTACGAAAACGTATTAACTCGATGCGAATACATTTGCAAACAGGGAGTGAAGGAGGAAGCTATTACGTTGAAAGATAACATGCAGGAGACGTTGATAAAGGAAGAGATTGAAGTTACGAATTGCAGCAAGGAGCGCCACGCTGTTCTCGAAGAGTACAGGTTGAACAGACCGCTTCTTCATTCGAAATTCTAATTGTAAATAACTGAAAGCGTGTGTTTCTGGCAGGCAACGGGTTCTGGAACAGAAAATGGAACTCGAGCGTTTGGAAAAGATGATATTCCAATCGCGGCCGCGGAACAATTTCGATGCGCGTGTGAAAAGTCGCATACAATCGGCGGAGGATGTTACCAAGGACGAGGTGACACGACTGGAGGACACGTTCGCCAGGCTTCGCGCCGCGACCGGAGTGTCCAGATCCGAGGACGTACTGAACCGGTTTCTGGGTCAGCGGGCGACCAAGGATAATCTACAGAAAATGCGGGTGGCAACCGAGGAGAAGAAAATGGCGTTAGAAAAGCAGAGGCAGGAGCTCTTGGCTGAAATGGAGGCCAGAAAATTTTCGGAGACGAAAGACGCGGAACAGTGAGTTCTGCTTCCAAATTAGTACATTCTTATTGAGAACGTAGTGTGCTTATCACTGTTGTTCTATACACTGTGCATTGATAGAAACGCGGAGGAAGTGGATAAATGGAATCGCCAGATTGAGGAACAACGCGTACGTGGATCGGCAGCAGATTCGGGGAGGCAAAGAGTTGAAGATCTGATACGAGAAATAACTCTGACCTTGTGGAACGTGTGTAACAAATTCCGAGTAAGACACGTAATCTTAAATATCTACTCCCATAATTTGTTTAAAAAATCATAACGCAATTTTATAAGCTATAGTAATATATGTTTGACTAAGATTTTGGAAATACTTAATGTACATTCTGTAGTACAGTTTTAGTTGAAAATCGAGGGAAAAAAGAACAAAGAATCATCTGTAGCGAAGCCTTTCCTGTTAACATACAATATCGATGAATTAACACTTTGAAATATTTCTTATCCTTCGTCACGAACAAAATCGAATCCCATCGGAAGCGGCCATGTCGATGTTAAAATGGTCGATGGAAATACCGTGTAAATTCCTAATTGAATTAGTGAAGCCGGCTTCGATGGTGGTTACCGCGATGGACACACCGGTTCGTGGTTTCCATGCCAATTATATTGTCTTTGGAGATTTAACACCCTGAGACGTGCACGGCGTTCACCAATCGGCTTGCCTCAACGATCCCTGCCCGTAATTCTCACCTTAAGAAGTCGATGTCCCGCGCATTAACACCTTCGAACACGATCGAAAGTAAACATATCGGTAGCCACGTCCAGGCCACGAGAAAATCAATTATTGATTCAATCGATCCCTAGAATCCCGTACGTGCCGCCCTTACCCGTTAACTCGCTGTCCAATCCTCCTCTGTGTCCTCTTTCACTTCTCCGCTAGGCGTGTACAAACATTCGAACTAGAAAAGAATTCCAATATCCGGTTGGGAACAAAATTTCAAACGTTCGAAAGAAGTCTCGGAATATTAAATGAAGTACATTTGCATTTTGCTTCATTTTTTCTTCCTCTTATTTTTCTAATCGTATGAGATTAGAAAGTTTATTTTTAAGATTGAAAATAGATTTGGTACATGGAGGTATCTTTTTAGGACATAATTGAACCGTTGCCCATGGAACCAAGTGAGGTCAACAACCCTTTGCAGCTTATCGAGTTGATGAATGAAAAAGCGAAAACTGCCATTGATATTTTGGGAGGACCAGATAAATATCTCGAAGTACTGAACGAAGTATTAGTTGACAAGGTGAATTTTCAAATGTGATAAATTATATCAATCAACCAATGTAAACTACTCCCTGGATTCTAAGAAGCCTTAATTAGATTTCGAATTGCTGTTACAAACTTTATTAATAGCCATGTTGATCTTTCTTCATTATATAGCTAGAGTCAGCGTCAATCACGACTACCTCAGTTGAGGGAAAAGCGGCGCGTGCAACCGAGGGGCCACTTTTTCCTCGATTTCCATCGTCAGTAACGCCGGCGATGTTGCCGTCAGAAGATGAGGAGGACGTTCCGACCAGGAACGCTCTCAAGAAACAGGCTCAGCAACTGGTCGACGTTAAAAGTCGACGAAAAGGATTTATTTTTAAAAGATGAATGTTATATTGCTGAAGAATTACACATCATTAGATATTAATTAGATTTAAGTATTGTAATCAACTGTAGATAACAGATCCTAAAGTTAGAATTTTTTTTAATTGAAATTTTATATAAAAATATAAGTTTTACTGTAATTAATCATTGAAAGCTTATAAATGAGGACGAAACTCTTCACAGGATGAATATACAATAGTTTCCAGATATTTGGCCACCGATTGGGACCGGACTTGACCATATAATAGGAGGGATGCATTTCTTAAAATCGTTCATCATTCGAACGCGCAGCGTGGCTAAAATTAAACAATACACATTGTGCGAGTAAGACAAAAATAGAGAAAGAAGATGAAATATAGATATGACTTTCGCTTGGAACCAGCGCTTCTAAGTTGGGGATGATGGCCTGTATTCAGAGTCATTGCTTATTCTTAAGATCGTCTTAAGTATTTGCTTAAGTCCCTGTCTCCTGTGCAAGACAGGGACTGGAAATATGGGATAGACAGGGATAGCAAATGCTTAAGACGATCTTAAGAATAAGTAACGACTCTGAATACCGGCCAATGACTCGTGGCCATATATCCGGAGATTGCTGTAGTCAGTCATGCTACTGCCATCTGGTATCACAACTCACTACTAGACTTCATTACCAGCGTCTGACCAAGTTAGAGCAACAGCAGATCCGAAGTTTCGAAACCTAGATATACGATTGTAGGTAACTCGTTCCGCATTGATAACGCACAATGACATGTGATATATTCTGTATCTGCCTCATTAACTGTTGCCGAATAATAACAAAATCTAGGGCCGGTATTCAAAGTCGGTACTTATTCTTAAGATCGTCTTAAGCATTTGTTATCCCCGTCTATCCCATGTTTCCGGTCCTGTCTTGTACAGGAAACAGGGACTTAAGCAAATGCTTAAAGTGATCTTAAATATAAGCACCGAGGAGATAGAGATACTAGCAGATATCAGTAGTACCTCCTCGGTGATATAAGTAACGACTTTGAATACCGGCCTAGGAGTCATACGCGATACAAGATGTCAGTACCATGGCTAAATATATTCCTGCTCTAAATTTAAAGGACTGTGAAATGCAATCAAACTTTAGATAAATATTATTCAAGGAATCTAACTGAGGAAGGAAATGGAGGTAATTGATAATGTGTTTTAACACAAGAAGAAGAACACAGTGACTTCAGGTCAGAAACTAACATATGAAGTATAAAATTTATTACGCTGTGGAGTTCGGTCTCAGTGCATACATAATATTGCAGTATAATAAAGTACAATCTATCGGAGTTCAAGATCTTGTTGAACAATAACGATAGCGATCGGAGCGAGTCCTGAAAGCGCGTGGAAAGAATCGACGCGACCTAAAGAAACGCGGAGTTGTTGCGTCGCGTCGTGCGTCACGTGGGTTCCGAAGAAGAAGCGTGTTCTGCCCGGTAGCCCGTTGCTCGTTTTTGCGAGTCGACTGGTCGGGTTGGCCGCCTCTTCTCTTCTCCTCTCTTCTCTTTCCGAACAACCAGAGTATATAGGAGCATGGTCTCGTATCGTGTGTGCGCGCGTACCACACGATTCTACGCCGCGCTGCGCGGTGAAACACACCAGAGGAAACTGGCTCCGTGTATGCGAGAGCTTGGCGCCGCACTGTCGCATCCTATATACAAGATCACTCTCGGATCGGCTATGCGAGGAGCGCATACAGTCGCTCGCGAAAGTATACCGACACTCGTAGAAACAATTTATGAATCATGCGTTAGGTAAACGTGAAAATGGCAACGATTTCTGCGTTATATAAACTCAAACATTGCTCGTCAATTGTAATCAAATTAAAAATAAGAATTGAGATAAAGAAACTCGAACATAGTTCATGAATTATAATAGACCAACAA